CACAGGCCAGAATACTGGCAGCTTCCGAGTCCTAAATACTGTCGGCCAAGGCCTACTTGTCAGATACAATACTGAGAATTGTTTAATTTCTTCTTGTCACAGGATGAAGTTTGTGGGGAGAGGGGCAGGGTTTAGTTTTCAGAGGCCACCTATTTTCCTGCCATCCAGGCTTCTGATTGCCCACAGATTGTGGTCATTGGAGGCCCTGCCCCCGCACTGCTCTGACCCAGCAGGCAGCAAGCAGGTCATGGAGTCATAGAGATATACAGCGCGGACCCAAGGTTCTGCTTCCAACTCATCCATGCTGCTTAGTTTTCCTAAATAAACCTAGTCCCATTTGTCAGCATTTGGCCCATTTCCCTCTAAACCTTCCCTATTCATATACCCATCCATGCCTTTTAAATGTAATTGCACCAGCCTCCACCACTTCCTCTGGCTGTTCATTCCATACACACAACACACTCTGCATGAAAAAGTTGCCCCTTAGGTCACTTTTAAATCTATCCCCTCTTATCTTATATCTATGCCCTCTAGTTTTAGACTCCCCCATCCCAGCTATAAGACCTTGTCTATTTACCCTATTCACTCCCCTCATGACTTTATAAATCCTCTATAAGATCACCCCTCAGCCTATGACACTCCAGGGAAAATAGACCCAGCCTATTCAGCCCTCCATATAGCTCAAACCCTCCAACGCTGGCAAATCTTTTCTGAACCCTTTCAAGTTTCACAACATCCTTCCTATAGCAGAGAGACCAGAATTGCTCACGGTATTCTAAAAGTGGCCTAACCAATGTCCTGTTTAACTGCAACATGGCCTCCCAGCTCTTATACTCAATGCACTGACCAATAAAGGCAAGCATAACAAATGCCTTCTTCACTATTTTTCCTAGTTTCTTAATCGTTGGAAAGGCCAGTAATTGGCAAAATGACAAGTTGAGGCTGTTAAGTAGCTATTAATTGACCACTTAAGGGCCTTAAATAATGGAAAGTTGAGAAAGTCGCTAATGGACCTTTTACCCAGAATTGAGTTAGACAAGTAGTTAGAAGGGCCCAAGTATCTCACCCAACTATTTTCCCTTTTCACCACCTCTCATGACTTCCAGAAGGGCTAAAACCCATCCATTGTGTCCTGTCTTTTCCACACTATAATATTCTCCTTTCTTTCCTTTCCTTCCTGAATGCCTTATATACAAGAATATTTATTATTCAGTTCTTCCTTACATTTCTGTGATACTTTGAGAAGTTAAATGCTTTCAAGGTGCTCTCAAAGTCTAAACAGCAGTAATAGCTTTGGCTCATGATGTTTAAAAATGGGGCTATATACTCTGTGAAATAATCCAAGTAAGGGATTCTATGATTGTAATAATAATAATGGGCCACCATAAGGTTACAGAGTGTAATAAGCTACAACCTGTTTGTATTCGAGGGGGCAAGCCTGTTCCAAAATTCAATAAAATCATAGCTAATCTGTTTTGAGTTCATAGTTCACATTCCAATCATCCTCAATCTCTAAACAAAAACAAAGTTGCTGGAAAAGCTCAGCAGGTCTGGCAGCATCTGCGAAGGAGAAAACAGAGTTAACATTTCGGGTCCGGTGACCCTCAGAACCGTTCTGAGGAAGGGTCACCGGACCCGAAAACGTTAACTCTTTTCTCCTTCACAGATGCTGCCAGACATGCTGAGCTTTCCCAGCAACTTTGTTTTTGTTCTTGATTTACAGCATCTGCAGTTCTTTTGGTTTTTATCCTCAATGTCTGATTATCTTGCCTCCAAGAACCTATTCATTTCTGTCCTGAAAATATTCAATTGCCTCCACTAGCTTCTGAGACAGAAAATTCCACAGTCATACAGCCCAAACAGAAAAATATCGTCCTCATCTCTGTCCTGAAACAATAATTCCTAATTTTAAAACGGTGTCCCCTAGTTCTTGACTGACCCACAAGAGAAAACATCCTTTCCACATCTGCCTTGTCATAACCATTCAGGATCATATACACTTCAATCAAGTCACCCTTCATTTTTCTACACACGTGGAACTCCAGCCTATCCAACCAATCCTCATAAGATAACCCACTCATTGCAGATATCAAATTAATAAACATTTTCTAAACTGCCTCCAATGCATTTACATCTTTTCTTAAATAAGGAGACTAAAATTGCTGCACTGTATGAGAAATGGTTTCAACAATGGCCCGCATAACATCCTTATTCTGATGTTCAATCTCACGTAATAAAGTGTGTCACATTAGCCTTCTGGATTATGTGCTTCGCCTACATGCTAACTTCTTGTGACTCATGCACCAGAAGATTAAATTCCTCACACCTTGGAATTCTGCAGTCGTTATCCATCCAAGTAACACTCCTTTTTTTTTATTCTTCCTGCCAAAATGAATAATTTTGCATTTTCCCACATTATACTCCATGCACGAGATTTTTGTCCACTCACTCAACCGGTCTGTCTGCAACTTTATGTTTTCTTCACATCATACTTTCCTACTCACCTTGGTGACAGCTGTAAATTTAGCTACGATGGCTTCACTCCCCTCACTGAAATCATTGAGGGGAAGTTGAGGGTCCAAAACAGACCACTCCAGGATTCCACTCATCACTTGTCGCCAATCAGACAAACATTTATTTCCACATTCAGTTTTCTGTCAGCCAGCCAATGTTCTATACATACTAATAAGATACACCATGAGCTATCATTTGTTGCAATAATCTTTGATGTGGCAGCTTATCAAATGCCTTTATACACTTATGTATATGAACCTTCTGCTTCCATAACATAAGCAATTTTCTAGCCAGGTATTATTTAAAATAAGTTCAGTGCTTTCTCCCTGAATGGAGCACTTTAGGGAGAACCGATTAGAGGCTGCAGAAGCCACAGGATGAAGCCGAGGAATTTCTGCTCCATGTCTTGGTGCATCAGGCAGCCTGTTGGGGCAGAGCATGAACCACACTGGCGCCTTCAATGATGCCTAGAGGGAGCAGGAACCAAACCTTAAGAACAACGGCCACAGAGTCAATAATTGAGGGGGAGGAGGTGGCGCTCAGACAGCAGAGTCTTGGACGTAGAGGCCTCCCACAAAAGTAACCGCAACAGTTGACAAACTAAGCACTCCTCACATGGCCAGTCAGTTCCTTCCATCCCCACTAAAACAGGGTGGGCAGGTGGTATAGCCTGGGGATCCGACTCTCCCTGTGGCTACAGCATGGCAATCTTTACCCATGCTAGTTCAACGGTCTGAGTCCACAGACCCTCCACGATGGCAGTGGAAGGGGTCAAAATAGAACAAAGATATCTATTAGAGGTGCTCAAGTTACAGACAGCATGCCAGAAGAACTATATTATCAAAGGATTACCCATTACCTTGGGAAAATAATTCATGCAGTAAGGAGCTACCTAAACAATTTGCCTTTTGTCCCCCTCTTTCCTTTTGGAACACTGCTGAATTCAGAGTTTGTGGTAACCAAACTCAATGTTTGCTTTCTGTTCTGTAGGTAAAGTGTAATCTTTCTTTTCATTAACAATGTTAACATTCTGCACTAGCACAAGAGATCCATTTTATAACAGCAAACAGCAAGAATCAATAGACAGCTGGCTTTTTTTGATGAAATCCTCCAAAATCCATAGGCAGAGAGGCTGGAAAACTAATCTGTTTGCAAGGCATCCTTTGTACTTGTTCCTAGATTCAGGTATTGTGTGTTGGAAACTAACAAGTCTCTCATGGTGCTGTTCAGAGGGAGTCATATTAATTTAGAAACAGCAGGGAAGTTTATGCCATGCAGGTAGTTATTTCAGGGCCACTGATATACAACCTGAATAAGTCAAATTTCACGTTCATTAAGAGTTATTTTAGGATTTTCATTGCTGGTTTGAGGTTTGAATTTTTTTGGTTTAAGGGAAAATGAAAATTAGTGCCTTTCTATCACACCTTATTTTTACATGTTCCAAACAAGTGCATGTCCAATAACACTCCAGAAACTCAATAACATGCAGGACAAAGCAATATACTTGATTGGCAGTCCAACCACCACCTTCAATATTTAATCCACCAGATAGACTGCAGCAACTCACCAAGATTCCTTCAATAGTACAAATGTGTGACCTCTACCACCAATAATTGGACTAGGGCAGATGGTCCTCCTAAGCCCTGCAAGCCATTTATCATACATTTGAGCTCCCTTTGCTCTTCTTAGTGTTGTTGGGTCACACTGCATGCACCTACAACATATCGCAACAGTTTAAGGTGGCAGCTCAACACCATCTCCTGAGTAATTAGGGGTGGGAAATAAATGCTGGCCCAGTCCTGGTCCAGGTAGATGTAGATTCTCAATGGGAAAGACAGACAGGACACAGGTGAAATATGGAGCGTGGTCCTTGGAGAAGGGAAGGGCAGACCAGGCTCATGGACGGGGTGGGATGAAGCACCTATTTCAGAAAAGGGGCGTCCCCTATTTGTAAGGCAGGTTATACCTAGGAATATGGAAAGTACCTGAGCTCTTGGCTGCGAGGTATGATTTGGTGAGTATGACCTATTGGCTGTTGCTTGACCAATAATGCCCTCCCAATAATGGCCCAAGAGCCCACTGAGGAGGACTTTGAAGGGCTAGGCATTCCTTTGTCACTTCTGATGTCTGCACTCTAAATTTTGTTGTTTAATCTTTCTGCAGTTACTTGAGATGTGAGATGTGAGATTAAGTTAATTTTAAATTCATGGGTACTTCAAAAATTTGTGGCAAAACTATTGCCTCGCAACAACAGCAAAGTCAGAACTGTCATTAGTGCACCTATAATTCAATTCATAAGTCATGGCTCGAGATGTATTTCTTGGTTCCAATATAGTCTTATTTAATATTAACCTAATTAAAGTTATTTGATGCATTCATATTTTATTAAAAGACTCCATTCAATGAAATGACAGATTCCAACATATAAAGTATCTTTTATTTTTAATCAAGTGAAATTCAATATTTACATTAACTAACTTCCTTGAATCAAGCTACATGTTACAAAGTGAAGTGTCCCACTTCATTTACAATACATTAATATAATCCAGCAGTGGCCCCTTCACACCTTATGATTTTAGTTACTGAATTGAACACCTTCAACCACAATTCAATATTTTTCTAAATAACAAAATAGAAAACTTGGGAACAAATATTATATTAGATTTGAAAATGCACTTAAAAAATTACTGTTTATAAATACCCATACAATATTTACAAAGTCAACTTTATTAAATCTAGTGTTTAAAGATTATTGCCTGGACAGGTGAATTCTAAAATCCAAAAGTTGACTGTTGGCTTTCAGTCTGAAAGCCCTTGATCTGTTAACCACCAGAACAGTTACCAAATAAATAATCCTCCTGAGGAAGGCACTCACAATAAATTTATGTTAAATTGCTTCCAAATGCATATGACCCATTCTTGAGATTACCACTGTAAATTGAGTGATACTGGGAAGTCACTAGGAATTGTGCCACAGGAATTACATGCTTTTGATTGGAAATAAAGAGGAGAGATGTCCTATAGCCCCACAGCTATTCAATAACAGACAAGATTGAGAAGTTGATTTTTGTAATAATTAGATTGCATATCAAGATATTGAAATTATTCAATTTGAAAGAGATTAACATGAATAAAAACAACATGCCTATAGAAGCCATTTCTAGATATAACTAAATTTAAGAGGAAGACGCCCAAAAGGGAGAAAGTTCAGTCATTTGATTGAGTTCTGCATGAAGATTTCAAAACACAAATTTGCAAAGTCAAAGTCTAAAACTGGTGTTGTAATGAAAGCAAGAGTACAGTGATAGAAAAGGCAATGTTGTCAAGTTTTTGAGACTAAGTATTTGGATATTATGATGTCAAATGTATATGGGTATTCGTTGCCATTTTAAACGAAGGAGAAAGGACTATTCATTGGAAGTTTCCAAAGTGATGCAGTTGTGAATAAAACTAGTTAATATAAATTATTCTTGTTAACGTGAAGTCAAATTTTGTTGAATTTTTAAAATTCTTCAGTAATTAAAAATTAACCAGGAGCCAATTTAACATGAAAGGAAATGGATGGATTCAAACTAAATGTTTAAATGGAGTTTACTCTACTGCTTGGTATCACAATAGTTAACAGATAGAAGCAATTTAATGTTCCCATCATTCACACAAATAGAACTGTAACACTATAACATTTTTGCACTAAGTCCAAAAATGTTATGATGGAATAGACAGAGATCAGAGCAAAGGAATGAACGATTGCTTTCAGAAACCGAGTCTCCAAGTCATTGAAAGCAAGTTCAGTCCTTCCTTAAAACAGAATGGAATTGATGTTCAAGTTACATCAGCTGGAAGTGCAGAGGGGATGGGGCAAAACTATCTGGGAGCCCAGAATGGTAAGTCCAGCTTCGTTTGGGACCTGCTCCCACCCTTCTCAAGCCTCACTGGTGACATTAGAGAGTAGGTTGGGATAGAAGATTTGAAGGCTAGGAACTTTGTCAGTCCCTGCCACGAATAGGCTCCAGTGTGCAGTCAAAGTTTGGGTTCAGACCTGGAGCCCCACAACATGCCAGCTCAACTGCTTAAATTAAACGGTTATAAAAAAGGAACGTGTGGGGTGGACAAATTCTGTTGAATCCGTAAAACTGCAAAGTCTTGCTCTTGCTTCAGAGCCAGAACCAGACAGTATTGCTTTTATGACCACGTGACATTGAAACCTCTCATACTAATGCAGTGACCTTCAAGGGAGTATGATGGGAGTTAGGAAGAAAACTCAGAGCTTCACGTAGCAGAGTAATTCCATGTATCTTTGGTGCTCCCACACCACATTTTGCCTGTCATGCTTCAGTTCAGGGCCACACTTCTAAAGTGTCTACATATTTTCAGTGCAATTTTCAGCTTCAGAATATCACTACCAATAGCTAAAATTTTCTAGCTGGTGAAGGGGAGAATGAAAAGCAGTGAAGTTCACTAAACTAGAAATCAAAAACGATAAGTCAGAAGTTGTTAATAAAATTTTTGAACAGTTTTTTTTGTTTTGAGAAGGTGGTTTAAAGTCTATGTGGGAAATTCATGTAAGTTCCCTCATTAATCATGATCACTCAAAGACTATCATTCTTCCCAAACATCTAGCTACAATTTCATAAATCTTCACGAACAGACATGAATCTATCTTCTCAGAACATAGAAGCGCTTTCCCATCTAATGGAAAATTAAAGGTCATGAAATATTCCAAGCAAAACTATAGACAAGGCAGGACAAGCATAGTTTATATACAGGAGGGCTTTCCCTAAACATTTTGTACAGTACCATGCTGAAGTTGTTGCTTACAGCATATTACACAGCCATTGGAATTAAACGTTACTGAATTTAAAGTAATTTCTATAAACTACAGTACCACCTGTTATTTCTTTAATATTTTCATATTGTTTAACTAGTTAAGATTGTACCTTTATTCTAGGTCGTTGACGTTCATAATAATTGACCCAAAAATGTTCTGCATATTCTCGCAGTCTTTGGTAATAAACAAAAGTCTTCCATACTTTTTCTTCCTTATTATAGAAAAGGCACAGCCAGAGATGGACAGTAAAGTACTACTCCCAAATTTCTGATGCAGATATTTATATAACTGAGATATTAACTATTCAAAGAACAACATAATCCTCTTCCCTGAGCCTATTAAACTTCTAGCTTCATTTTCTTTTGAAAGCTACTTAAACTTCATTCCAATTTCTCATCGGCTTTTTACTCCTTTGCAACATTACAATCTCTTCAGCTGTCTGACTGCATCCAAAGTATGGGTATAATGGGGTCAATTTTCAATAGTTCAGCTACTCTGTTTAAGTTGTCTGGTGGTTTAACAAAGGCAGCAGCAGTTACCTCAGGACAATCACCCTACCGCAGTGATTTTTAGATGGGCCTGTAAGTCAGCATTAAATACTGACCTATTTTATGGGACATTGCTGCTGATTATGCACCATATGCCACAGCCACCTTATTGTATTAGGCAGCAGACAGTCTAGGCAGCAAACCTTAAAATGACTGCTGAAAACTGCTAAGTAAAAATCCTGCAATATTTGAGGGATAACATGCATCCAAGAATAAAACTACTTCTCCTGGTGCCAAAAAAAAAGCAAAGCAGTCAGCTGCTGAGCTACCACTGCTCAGGCACAACCAAATCTGCACTGCGGCTTTGGAGCATATACTTAAACTTGCTCCAGTACTGCATTTCCCTCGCAGCCTTGTAATGGTGATAACTCTGGCATTGTTAGCAGTACAACAGGGCAAATAGGACAAGTCTTGCTGGATATAGTTTTCACCAAAACAGAGATAGAACCACACTGTCAGCATACAGCTGCAGGGCAATTAAAAGGTTGGTACAAAATCCAAGTGTGAATGGAGAAGTATTTGGTGTACAGTCCTTTTGTGCTGTTCCATTTCTACAACATCAGTCCCTCAATATAAACAAGACTGAACTAGGCAGATAAGATCAAGATAACACTAAATCTTTGAGGATGCATTATGGTCAACAGGGAAATTCAGCACATGGATTTTCAGCAAGTCCTCAACAAGGTACCAAAAACCTATTGGAGAAGAGCAAAAGGATAAGAAATTGAGAGATAGAGTAATGATTTTTTTTTGAAATGGCCATTTCTTTTCAAAAAAAAAAAAGGGAGGAAATGGGAAACGAGAAAGGAGACGTTTAGAGCAACTTTTCCAAACAGGTGGATAGCAATGTAGTCCAGGGATTAATTGGGTTCAGTGTGCACTACTGACTTGGATATAGGGCTAAAAGGAATTCAGTCCATACTTGAACAGAATATTTAAAAGTGGGTAGCTTAATAAATAAAGTACAAAATGAAACTGCATGACGACATAGGTAAGATGGTGGAATGGAAAAAGGTATGCCAGACAGAATTCAATATTTGTAAATTCTGTAAAAAACTAGATGATTTGTGATAAGAGTCAGAGGTCTGGAAGTTTCCAATAAAACTGCATATGCAATGATATGGAAACTCACTTGTGCTTGTCCAAGGCTTAGTCCAAATTCCACAGGCAGGTCCACAGTCTGGACAATTTCATAGGACACTTGAATAGTCCAGATGTAGATACTCCAACACTGTCCAATCCACTTTTTCAGGGTACAGAAGAATCCACCATAAGTCCATATTGTGGAAAGTATTATTCTTTAATTCCTTCAGCTCCCATTGAAGCCACTCTGATAAAGTCATTAATCCTGTCCTGGACTATTACAAGAAATAAGTAAAGGTTGGGAATCATTAAACGGCCTTTTAAAAAGACTTACAAAGTCCCCCCCCATTGTCATGCATTCCATAAAGACCTTTTAATAGCTGAAAGGTTTCCAGAAGAGCATCAAAAAAGTCCTTAATGACCTTTCACACACAAGGTGCAGCCAAATCCAAAAAAAACAGAATTTCACAGTCTAAATCACAATTTTTACCATACCTGGGCGTATGCCCATTTTTGCAGGAGAAAGTGCTTCCCTCCAGCTCCAGAAATTAAAGAAGTAATATTTTAAAAATATGTAATACTGACTACGAGCTGCAAGATCACAGCTGAACTATTATGCACCATCCTTTCCACTTACCCCTGTCCCCAATACAGAATAGGTGTTGAAGCCATAAGACAAAAATTACATAGAACAGGTATGGATTTCTCAGGGCAGTTCTTCAAATATTGAAACTTCAATAGCGATTTACACTTCAGTCCCCTTCTCAAAATCAAATGAAAACTGCAGTTACATTGTTACAGAAAACTTGTTTGCATTAAGATGCATGGCTACTCCATCAAACCAACCTCAAGTTGGTTTCACTTACACAAGAGGCTAACAAATTTTAATAAAAATATATTTCAATGAAAATGTTTGATTAAATAATCTGGTAGCCCTTCAAGTGAAACTATTGAACAACAGATACACAAGTATTTAGGAACTATTATTTCCATTGTATAGAACCAAAAATTAAATAGGAGAGTGTGAAAATTGAGATGGCTAAATGGAAATAAGTGTCCAGTTTCTTTCAAAAAGGAGGAAACGTCAGGGTCTTGCATTCAACAGAATCTTGCTTGCCCATTAAAAATTATATGAAGTTTGGGGTGGTTTTGGAAAAGAACCTACAGAAACTTTTATTTTTCTGGAACAATTAATTTTGCTGTGAACAGTTTTCCACATTTCTAGAAGTTCTGCTGGAAGCAGTTTGTGTACCACCATTATGCTTTTATAAAAGCAAGGCTCTTTATTCATCTTACTGTTTTTGTTTTTCACAATGCCAAAGGTCTTAAAGCCTCCATGATTAATGGGACTTATGCTGAGCACTTCGAGGCACATCCCCAGGAAAACATCATCAATCGGGTACAACTCTAGGTTTTCAGAAACTTTGTACAATCTTCTTGCAAGTGATCCAGCCATCAGAAATCCACCACCCCCTGCATAAGGTGGGTAATACGTCTTATTGTACAAAGCTTCTGGAATATAATATTTATTTTCCTTTTTGCGAATTGGTTTTGCCTTATACAGAACATCGCCAACAAAAAGATCAGTAATTTTTGGTATATTAAGAAATTCAAGAATATTCTCTGTGCTGACAAACACATCATCATCACCTTTAAAAATATACTCCACGGTCTCACAATATGTAGAAAACCATTTGAGAAAGTTAACCTCTTTCAAGGTGAGATTGAAAAAAGTGTCCATGAAGTCCCACTGAAGTATATCCCCATAAATAATATCCTCATATTCCAACAGTCTTTGGTGGTGAGGCCTCTCATTTTCATTGGACGAAGTCCCTAAAAGGAATAAGATTTTTACTTGCTTCCCATCCATCACCATTTTATTGCCCCATGTTTTCCTAATGGCCTCCCTGCGCTCATACTGAGTTATGATGGATTTAACGACTAACAAGAGGTAGATATCATCACTGCATTTCTCAGGATGGTTAAGAATCATTGGAAAATACCTACAGTGTCTATATTGTAAGAACTGTTTGAAATTTGACCCCAAGCCTTTGAACCATTCAGTATGAGTGAAGTTGTTGTTGGGAGTGCAGTTGACACTAGTCACATCCCATTGTTTGGTCTTTCCCCTTGCTTCTGTTACCATTGGTGTCTCAGTGGTAGCAATCTCTGATTTTTGAGGACTCCAAAAGTTTCCCTTGGGAGTGAAGTAATTCAGAAAAGTAGAAACCAATTCATCCTCTGTAAAACTGGATCTTTGGGAGATATTCTGTAACTCCTGGCTAGTTCTGTTGCTTCTTTGCAGCACAGTCAAGGCTATCACAGTCACAAAACAGCTGATGCAGCAGGCCTTTAACAGTCTCATCTTCCTAAAGCACATGCTCTTCAAAATGGTTTCTGAGACCAATGAAATGGAAACAGTAGTTAATTATCCAGATATTACAGTTAAATAAATTACAATCAATATACAAGAACCAGTTACCTTTGTTAAGCTGTACTGAATCATCCATCCATCTGCTTTACATTCACCTACATGATCTCTACCAATAGTGAAAGGAACAATTTCGTATACAGCAACCACCAGCATTTTACACTGATAGTAAATATTATGGACACGAACCAGCAAACTCAGAGGCTGTGTCATTGACCATAACTGCAAGATCTTCACATATACTTTTATTGGTCCTTTATTTCTGGAGGGCTGATGTATGCTTAACAAAAAACAATAAAAGGTAGATTGAATAATTACAGGCCAATCAGTCTAACCGCAGAGGGGGCCAAGTCAGAAAAACAATCACTTAGAAAAAGGCACAAAATCAGAAAAGGATTGGCAGCATGGAGAATGACATCTTGAAGGGTCATTGATGGCTGTATTTTTGATACAGTCTACAGGGATTTTAGCAAGGCTTTTGACACGGTCATTCCTGGTCAAAAATAAAAACCTCATGGGATCCAAGGGAAGGTAGTAAGTTGGACCAAAAGTGGGTTAGTGGCAGGAAGTAAAGCATGAATGATGAACAGATGTTTGTGCATCGGGCATCTCCAAGATTCGTCGGATACAATAAAAATGAAGTGAACTGCCAATCATTAGTCAGTCAATCTTAAAAAGGACAAAAAAAAACAAACTTGCAGATAAAGTTATATTATTAGTGCGGAAGAAAGCTGTGAAAGATGTGGTTAATGTGCTGTTCAGGTGAGCAGAACAGGTCAAGTGGAATTCAGAGATAACAAGGTGTAGAGCTGGATGAACACAGCAGGCCAAGCGGCATCAGAGGAGCAGGAAGGCTGACGTTTCGGGCCTAGACCCGAAACGTCA